CTTCTTCTTCTTCTTCTTCTTCTTCTCTTCCTCCTCCTCCTCCTCCTCCTCCTCCTCCTCCTCCTTCTCCTTCTTCCTCCTCCTCCTTCCTCCTCCTCCCCCTCCCCTCCTTTTTTCTTCTTGCTCCTCCTCCTCTTCCTCCTCCTCCTCCACTTCCTCCTCCTTCTCCTTCTCCTCCTCTTCTCAAAATTGCATTGGCCTGTCCATGAACAGTAAAAAAAAAAAGTTGATCTTGATTTGAAATTTTTGCTCTTTTTAATGTCCAAATACTTGATGGCCCTTAAACGCTTTTCCCTGTATTTCAGCAGAGGGAGGAGGCCAGCCGTGGGAATCGCTCCTTCACTCTCTCCTTTAAAAGTCACTTTTTTTTTTCCTTTCATTCCCAAGGAGTGTTTTCCTCCGGCCTCACTTTGTGTTGCCTTTCTCTCCTGCCGCAGTATGTTACACAGCCGCCTGCTGGGCGACCAGTCCCAGCTGAAGGAAGACATGGACGCCTTGAAGAGGAAGAACAGCCAGTTTGTGCGGGAGCACAATCACCTCCAGCAATTGTGTGAGGAAATGAAGAGGCATCACGAGGAGGACCAGAAGGAAATAACAAACTTACGCAGCCAACAGCAGCAGGTATTCCTTCCCCTGACTTTTTTTTTTTCAAGGCACCGGTTCTCCTCGAATTACGACTTTTTATTTAGTGACTGCTTGAAGTTACAACAGCACTGGGAAAAACTGACTTAGCAACATTTTTCCACATTACGACGGTTGCAGCATCCCCACGGCCACGTGATCAAAATTCAGACGCTTGGCAACTGTCTCATATTTATGACGGTCGCTGGGTCCCGGGGGGGGGGGGGGAGAAATCACGTGATCCCCTTTTGTGATCTTCTGGCAAGCAAAGCCAATGGGGAATCGCTATTCGCCCATTCGGTTGTGAGTCAAGGATTACCCGTGATTTCCATAGGAAAGGTGGATTTATTTTTTTTTCACAATTAAAATACGACATTAATGCATTAGCAGCACTTTTCATTTAATTAGCGTTTTGCTCGCATTCATCATTCCTGATGGCTTTTCGGCTGTGATTTTTGCAGAATTTAGGCACTGGTTACATTTTTCCCCAAGGGTGATCTGAGCAATTTATGTGTTTCCATTTATAAAATTTTGGTTATAAAAGGGCCAAGTTTGAAAACCCCGGCCCTATCTAGATAGAACAGTAATTCAAACTGATGAGCTCTTTTTTGCAACATTAATTATAATGGAATTACAGAGTTGGAAGGGACCTTGGAGGTCATCTAGTCCAACCCCCTGCTCAGGCAGGAAACCCTATACCATTTAAGACAAATGGCTGTCCAGTCTCTTCTTAAAAACTTCCAGTGTTGGAGCATTCACTGCTTCTGAAGGCAGGTTGTTCCACTGGTTAATTGTCCTCACTGTCAGGAAGTTTCTCCTTAGTTCTAGGTTGCTTCTCTCTTTGGTTAGTTTCCATCCGTGGCTTCTTGTCCTGCCCTCTGGTGCTTTGGAGAATAGCTTGACTCCTTCTTCTTTGTGGCAGCCCCTCAAATATTGGATTGTTGTTCATAGTTGTGAATGAAAAAGACTTACTAAATTGTGATGATTCTACACTGAAAAGTCTCTTGGTACGTTGTATATGTCACGTCCGCAGAGAATGGATAATATGCAACTCGGTTTGAGGAAAGAGGGAACACGCCAAAGCAAAACCTGTTCTTAATGGGGGAAAAAAATGTCTGTATGTAACTTGGGAGGTTATAGAGAGGAGCAGAAGTTCCTCCTGTTATCCTCCCAGCATTGCTATTCTTACAAGCTCAGCAATTTTCAAACAGGAAGGTGCAGGAAGCAATAAATGGGTATTTTCTTGTAGTCTGACCCCTTTAGAAGCTGCAGCTGTTGCAGAATTTTGTGGCCCCTTTTTAGCTGTCTTAAATGCAGGAGTGACATAAATAAATGTACATATCAAGCAAGCAAGCAGGCAGGCAGGCTGTTTTGTCCTGGTTAACCATTTGCTTCTAAAGCCACTTCAAAGAGAAGGGAGCTTGAGCAGTGCAGGAAATATATACCACATCTGGAAAACAAAGCAAGGCAAGTTTAAAGCAAAAAAAAAAAAAAAGCTGGCCTGAAACTTCAGGAATGTCTTTCTCATCCCTGCCCAGCTTCATTTTTGATCCATTCAGGCTCAAAATGACCTGCTCTTTAACCAAATTCAACACTTTCCATATGCACAACATATCACACAGTAAGGCAAGCACAAACACAGTGTGACTTCTAAGGGGGTCTAGATGTTTATCAGCGTTGCAAATCAATTGGTGTTTTGTCTTGTTTTCTTGGCTGTCCTTGGTTGTCTACGAATCTTCTAAAATGTCAAAAGTTCAAGCATAGCCGTATGTTTTCTCTCCTGCTTCCTCAGACTCCACATTTTCTCTTCCACCTGCCTTTTTTTTTTGTTTTGAATGTTGCAGCACTTTAGCATTTTCTTTTACGTTAATGCGTAAGGCGTCTGTTCATATGGAAATGATGTTTTTGAAACAACGCCTTAAGAAACAAAGAGAACGCTCGACTTTTCACTGTGCAGAGAACTTTAAATTGCATTGGGACAAGGTAGTCATGATTGTTGGAATGGAGTGGAGTGGAGTGGAGTGGAGTGGAGTGGAGTGGAGTGGAGTAGAGTAGAGTAGAGTAGAGTAGAGTAGAGTAGAGTGGAGTGGAGTGGAATGGAATGGAATGGAATGGAATGGAATGGAAGCTGGAAGGGACCTTGGAGGTCTTCTAGTCCAACTCCCTGCTCAGGCAGGAAACCCTATACCATTTAAGACAAAGGGTTGTCCAATCTGTTCTTGAAAACTTCCAGTGTTGGAGCATTCATAACCTCTGGAGGCAGGTTGTTCCACTGATCAATTGTTCTGTCAGGAAGTTTCTCCTTAGTTCCAGGTTGCCTCTCTCCTTGATGAGTTTCCACCCGTTGCTTCTTGTCCTGCCTTCAGGCGCTTTGGAGAACAGCTTGACTCCCTCTTCTTTGGGGCAGCCCCTGAGATATTGGAAGACTGCTATCATGTCCCCCCTCGTCCTTCTCTTCGTTAAACTAGACATACCCAATTCCAGCAACCGTTCTTCATGTGTTTTAGCCTGTTTTAGTAGTGACCAAAACTGGATGGATGGATGGATGGATGGATGGATGGATGGATGGATGGATGGATGGATGGATGGATAGATAGATAGATAGATAGATAGATAGATAGATAGATAGATAGATAGATAGATAGATAGATAGATAACCTTTATTGACATTTTTTACTGTGGGCACAATGGCACACATTAAAAATGAAATTTAGTTGCTTGCTCTCAATGTGTACACATACATAACACACATTAAAACATACTCTATACAATATATGTATAGACCTACACCCTGACATATAAGTAATATATAATGGATGCAGTATTCCAAGTGTGGCCTTCCAACTGTGTTCAGTTTCTATTTAATTCTGGGATTCAGCCTATTGTCAGAATGGACCAGTAGATATTTAAGTAACGTATTTATTCAAATATATATATCTATATATCTATAAACAAAAACCCACTGGGCTTTCCTGGGCTTAAAATGAGACTGAGACGTGTGTCACTTTTGCTACAAAGCTTTGTTGAAAGTCTCTTTCCCCTTTGCATAGGTTATGAAGCAGAATGGGTCATCAGAGATCTTGAATAAACTCTACGATACAGCCATGGATAAGCTAGAAGTTGTGAAGAAGGACTACGATGCACTAAGAAAGCGGTACAATGAAAAAATAGCCAGTCACAATAGTGATCTGAGCCGATTAGAGCAGATCGAAGAAGAAAACAAATGTCTCCAGAAACAGATGGACATGTTGATGAAGCAGCGGGACACAGCCATCCACTTCCAGCAGCAATGTTCTACTTCTCTGAGAAGGTAAATATCCATTTCCCCAACGGGGTCTTCTAAATCAGAGCTCCTTCAGTAGAAGCATCTTAACTTGATTCTCTCTTTCAACTTCCTTGGTGGTGCTTACAGTCTCTCAGGACCAAAGTAGACATAACGGAACCAACCTCATTGGTGTCTAGGGAGGTTCTCCATCATCCAGGTCCTGGTTGTCCCAAAGATGCTTTTTTCAGGAGGCAACTGGACTTTCTTGTTTTTCTTTTGAAGACGTTTCGCTTCTCATCCAAGAAGCTTCTTCAGCTCTGACTGGATGGTGGGGAATGGAAGGATTTATACTCCTTGCAGACAGCTGGTCATTTGCCTTCTTTTAGAGAGGCGTTGTGGCTACCTGGAGGAATGCAATGGATTCTAAAAGATGGCAGATGACCAGCTGTCTTCAAGGAATGTAAATCCTTCCATTCCCCACCATCCAGTCAGAGCTGAAGAAGCTTCTTGGATAAGAAGCGAAACGTCTTCAAAGGAAAAACAAGAAAGTCCAGTTGCCTCCTGAAAAAACACCTTTGGGACAACCCCGTTGGTTTTCTGCCTGTTTGTGAGCTGACATTTGAAGTGTGAGTCTGTGTGTATACGGACACAGGTTTTGAGGTGAAAAGCCCACAAAGGTGGACTGTCCTTACTTCCATG